ACCACTTATCCTTGGTCCACTGCCAGCTGAAAGGTATCCCTAATAAATAGTTCCACCTCCTTGACTTTGTCAGCAACAAATTTTCATGCCTTCCCGTGCATTTCTCTCTTTAACTATTTCTCTTTCGCTCTCATACAGAAGAGTTTGATAACCAGCAATTAGTGCTTTCTTATATATATATACACACGTGTTCATCGTCTTCTTGGAGAAAAAAGAAAACTCAAAAGGCCAACCATGGCAGCCTGTGGAAGTCTAGAACACATCTTTGAAAAGCCATTGCCAGAAAATCCAACGCTTCTTGAATCTCTTACATCATGGAAAAAATCCATGAAACCGATTGATGATTCGTCGTTTACAGAAATATTTGGCGAACTACATTTTAAAGAAAATCACGCCTCTGAATCATTTTCATCCTCTCCTCTTCCTCAATCCTCTCCATCCTCATCTTTGTCCTCAAATTCATCGTTTTTTCCTGATGCGAATAAAAAATCTGATAATGAAAAACTCAACAGGGAGAAAAATGAGAGCATAAACAGCAATAATCATGAAAAAGCCAAGAGTCCAACATCAAGTTATTATCCAACGTCCACCCGCAAAAAGCAATACCGGCATAGCGATAGCTTTTCATCTGTCAATTCTGACAGTTTATCACTATGCACCGAAGGGCTTGGATTCGAAAGCTTTGATGATGTCGAGGATTTGTTGAGGAATGACATCTGTAATGAATTTCAACATCAGGAGGAGAGGAAAAGTTTTACAAGAAATGCGCAAACAGAAAGCCATTGGAGTGAATATTCAAAGAGATCGAGAACAAATAGAGGGTCATTTCCACCTCCCATTTCTAGTATAGGTAGGAGTGGGAAGCCATGGGTGTGCTTTAAATCGTACAGAGAAAACGGCCGGTTTATTCTTAAGGAGATGCGGATACCAACTCAGGAATTCATGCATTCATGTCGTGAAAATGGACGTTTGAAGTTGCAATTTATTCATTCTGACGAAGAAATTCTTGAAAGCGATGAGGATGAGGAAGAAGATGAAGATAATATTGAGGAAATCAACGAAGTACCCGGTGAAAATGATGACGCTAAAAGCAAGGGCAATGCGAATGAAGGAGGACGGGACAATGGAGAAGAGAATGTAGAAATCAACAACAGTGAAGCCTAACGTCTCTAGGAAAATTCTCCAGTTTTAATGGGCTTTTTTTGCATTGCAAGTATTAGAGGATTTTTAGCATTTTTCTTCCTATATTTTTCATAACGGTATGCAAATAAAGTTCCATTGAAGAACAAGAACAACAGTTCTTCCTTTGCTTTCGGATTGTAAGTATTCTGCAGTCTAAGAACAGGATACACTTCTCCAATTATATGAATCTTTAAATGTTGAATATTGAGTGAATATCAAGGAGTATGTGCCAAGAATCAAACAAATTTGTA